TTACGAAATGGTGATAAAGATATGCGATAATATTCAAAATACAAACAACAATTACTATAAATACTTTATTATTTATGTTTATTTCCTATAAAATTAATTGGATGCAATGTGTTGTAAGGTTTTGTGTTAAAGGTTTAACATTTCATGATACGTACTAATAATTTCGAGAATGTATTCACTTTTATTGCAGAGTAACATGATATAAGTTTCAAACTAGAACTTATTTTAAAACTTTTGTAATTAGTGTTGATAATATTTAAAATTTGAGAGAAATAGTATCTAAAATGTTTAAACAAATCACCAGAATATGAAAAGGGATTAAAAAATGATGTTTAATTTATTATGCTAATAATAAATAATAATTTAATCAATTATTATAAACTGAAAATAACTGATAAATTATATCAGATATTATTATATTATATTTAAAAATCTAATTATTTTTCGCAATATTTTTTTTTCTTTAAAATATATTATTGGTAAATTATATAACTTGCTAATTTAGCCATTTTTAAACCTATTACCTAAATAGTACGATTTATGTCGTTTGAAATAGATACCTATTAATTGTGTTATTATAACGCATAACGAAAATCATTTACATGTACCTACATGTTATACTTATATTTGAATAATCTATCGAGTTTTGTCTATAAAAGACATACCTCAATTTATTTTTATGTCATAAAATATTTATCAATTAATTAGTATATACTTTTAATCCAAAAAATTTATATTTTATTGTTTATTACAATAAAAGATATTACCTAAATTAATTGTATCAATATTCTTCTCCTCGTGTCGTTACTAACGTCAAAATTGACCCTGAAAAGGATCGTTTTCCCACTTGGATCAATATGAATGATTTAAAAAATATTTATTCATATTTATTCAATAAGACATATTACAGAGATTAAGTTATTGCAATAATTATTATGAAAATAAGAATAAAGATAAACAAGTATTGTTATTTTTCAATAACTCACATAAATAGCATTACATTTATTGATTTTAAATATTAATGGGTAAACAATAAAAAAAAAAAAAAAATTGTTATATATGTTAGGTGCATCGCTCACCAAAGTAACATGACTTTTGGTATGACAAGTGACATGAAATATGATACATTTGTACTAATCGAAATAATAATACAAATTACATGATATTTTTCTTTGCACTTATGTAGCATCAGTTTTGTTTCACTTTTCAGTAATATGTCTGATAAAGAAGACGCACTATGTACCCTATACTTATTAAATTTGTAAATAATAATTGAAGAGTACATAATTAATACTTTCATCCATTTTGGGGGAAAAACTACAATGGACGTGGGCTTTTTTGATATTCAAAGGTCTAGAAGTTAGTGATTGATATTTAGGAGTATAGTAGGTAATATTTATAGTATATTATATTAATATACAATATATTATGATAATAAACATAAATAAATAATAATATAATTCAAAAAAATTATTAGGTGAGTTAATAAAAATTAAATAAATATCTAATTTAGAAATAATTATTACTATATTAACCTTTTGGTTATTATTCAAACGCAAGATGTATTTTCATCATTTATAAGTAACGTCTGACAAAATTAGTGAAAGTATTAAACGAATGGTCACGGACAACATTTCAGAAATAACACAAAACTGATACATAATCTGACAGGTCAGAATATTGCACGAACTCGCGTGATTATTCTATATTTCAGTGATACATTTCGGGTGTAATGTGTTACATTTGAATCACGTGTCATGTCAATTGTCGTATAGGTGATGTTAATTTGATGAATATTTGGCCTAAATTTTTTAAGATAAGAGAATTTCCATTTCAAATAAATTATTTTCTGAAAAAATTATGGATAAATATTATAGATATAAATGATTTTTTTTCAATTTTTAGAAAAGATAAACAATTTTATCAGGCGGGAATTAATTAAAAGATAAATTTAGTGATAAGCACTTGTCCCATAATAAATTACAAACATTACAAAAATTGTATAAATTTAAATATGGCATCAATCAAAAATAGGAATCAAATAAATATTTTTCTATAAAAATTGACATTTTCTAAACTAATATAGGTACTTTGGCTATGTTTTTGGTTTTATACGCAGGTCACGTATTTTTGTTTTAATAATGCATGTTCAGGATCATGAGTCATCCAAAATTATCATTTTATTATTCAGCGAGCAAGCTGTTGTAGTCAAAATCCAAGACATAGCTGGCGGGTATACATAGAATAAAAACATTTATTTTTTATTCAACATTAGGATTTTAACATGGTATATAATACATACATAATACAAATATATAAAATACTTACATAATTAATTCACGTAAGACACAATATTATGACGATATTATGCAAGTAATTATATTTATCAAAACAAATATATTTGAATAAAATACATATATATATATATAAATATATAATATACGTATTTATAATAATATGTAAATAATGAATTCATTACTCATGTAAATTAATTATTAAATATTCATATCTTAGACTTAGGAGACTCCAGAAAAGGAAATTTATATTAGTTAAATTACTATTCTTCTTTTCAATAAAATGTACCTACTTTCCAAAAAATAAATTCTATAATATAAAATAATGGTTTTGAGTTTTCAAACAGAAAACAAATTTAATTTTAAGTAATAATCTATGCATTAGGTAGTTTATTGTAGGTTTAAAAGGTAACGTGTATAATTAATACATTTTCAGAATTTAATTTTTATTATTATTCTTAAGATATTTTACATATATATTGTAACAATTTAATCACATAATATTTCTTCAATAAGAAATGTACTTTTACGATTCGATACAATTTTAATTTTTATACAAACTTATATGTTATTACCAGGGTTGGGGAGTTAAAGCATTTCCTTATTTTTATGGATTAACTTAAAATGTAGCAGAGTATTATAGAAGTGTATGTCAAGTTATAACACATGCACTAATGAAATTTGAAAGTGCCTTTATTCGCTTTTTTCAGCAAGTTTTCAAAAAAATGCTTATTTCCAGTTTTTCTGATTGTTTTTGCTTATATGACCAGTTTTTTTACGTTTTTATAGTTTTCTCCTGCAAAATCGTTTTTTATAGAATTAAAATTAAAAATAATTCTTATTTTATTTACGTTATCACGTAGTTCGTCACCGTCCAAGGCATCGTTGTAGGGTTAACAAAGGTATTCCAACTCTGAAAATAGAACTTAGTATCAAACTTCAGAATGATCAAAAACAGAGAGAACAGTATATATTTTATTTTTCAGAAAAACCCCTTAGAAAATCCATAAAAACCTTTTAAGTCTTGAAAATGAAAATTTATTTTTATTTTGTTTTATTTTTTAGTCAGAATTTTATAGTTTTTTTTTTTTTTTTTTTTTGAATAAATATTTTTGCTTGATTTTAAATTTTTTAAATACTTATTTTAGTGCTTATTTTAATGATTTTAAGTGCTGTAAGTCCCAAGACCTGGTTATTACATATAATGACATGTAAATAGCTTTGAAATATATTATACACATTTACTTTGATAGGAATTTAATTCCGACCTATTGAAATAGCGTGATAAAACTTTTGATTAAGACAACTGGTTATGATCACCTTTGTGCCTTTTGTTCTAAACGATTTTCAGAGAATGTATAAATGTACGAAAATTGTGTTTTATTTACATCTGCTAATGAACCACAAAAAAATCGAAAAAGAATGCTGCAGACTTTCACCCGGATGAAGATTGGCATATATTGGCGCAAAAACACAAAGGATGGAGGCAGTTATGTTTGGATGTGTGGTCTAAAAAGCCGTAAAAAAAAAAAAAAAATTATGAACCGTTAATTGTACCCTTATAGTTGCTTATTTCTGTGTATAGATTAACACTAAAAAAATATAAATAATATATATTATATATATGAATATGATATGTATATATGAATATGCAATATAAGCATAACAAAAGGAAAGCAACTGGAAACTCTAATTATATTATACTTTGATGTGGTTGTTCTGTTTAGAAATCCTTTAATACAATATATTTCCAATTTACTAACGGAATGTTTATTATGTTAATTTTCATAAACACATAATGATATATTTACATTATAAACTCTCTGAATCATGTTTTCGATTACTTAGTAACTGTTTTTGACCGAGTTATGGTTCTTATTTTTTATCGATTCTGTTAATAATCAGCAATATTATAATCCTAATAATCACGTACGTATGGTATATGTTATTAAAATATACAGAATATTAACCTGTGCATTTAATTAATATGAAAGGCGGAACGGTAATTATTTTCCATGTTTATTTCATACAAAATTAATTTTTGATTTAGCTCATGAAATACGTGAATTGATTAATTTAATTTACGAAATTAGGAAGGTAGCTAAAAGTTAGAAAAAAAAGTAGTGAAATCTTACTCGAAATATGGCACAGCTCGGAAACACACCTCAGCGTTAAAAATAACTCAAATAGTGGATTTAAATAAGATTCCGAAAATAGTAAACACCCAATTCAACTTAGATATAGAAAAACGGTTAAATGAAATAACGAACCAATATAATTGTTTGTATGTAACTGCAAGGGTCACACAAAAACTATTTGCGATATCGTTGAAAAAAAAATCATTCGTATAATAATTATTATATAATTCGTATTATATGACGTACGTTGGTAGCAGCACGTGAACATAATATGATATTTATCGACTAATTTTGAACATTTTTGTATGATTCTCATTTATACAGCCGTTTGATACCCACTTGCTGATCGGGAGGCTTGGAGTAGCATGTTTCACACTGCACCGGTAGATTTTTTTGATTTTCTTTCGCAAGGACTGTTGATAGTATGGTCCTATTGTAGCACATGTGCCGAGCCCAGCACTGATTGTATCGCCGCTCGTATCGTTTGACTCGGAGGCCATTACGTGGACGCGATACGATTGTTACGTAATTTCATACGTTACTGATCGGTTTTCGGTGTCTGTCGCAGGTACTTCACGATAGTCCGGAACCCTCGGGGCTCGATGTTCCGGTGCAGCGTGGCCAAAACGCTGGTGCTCATCTGGTTGGTGTCGTTCGCGGCCATGGTGCCGTTGCTGCTGTACCAGCACGTCGAGGTGGTACATGTGGGCCCGGTGCACCTGTACGAGGCGTGCGTAGAGAAGTGGCCGTCGCCCGTCGCCCAGCAGACGTTCACCGTCGGCCTGGCCGTCGCCCAGTTCGTGTTGCCGTTCACCACCATATCGCTGATACACCTCAAAATATCCTCGTACCTGACCGTGCACCTCAAGCACCCAGCCCTCCCGTCCAAGGAGATCAGCTGCAGGCGAGGTGAGTCCGTGTACCGGTCGAGATCATTCTTGTTACGCGCTTTATTGTCACCTCGCACCCCCCTCCCCCGTCCCCACCGTTACCTGCTGTGTTTTTACGCGCGTAGTGCGGTTGAACGCGTTCACGTCAAACGTGACGACGGAACAGCGTTACTGTTCGAACGGTATTACGCGTGCGCGTCCACTACGTTGACATTTGGTGCGGTCGTAACGGTCCTTAACGGTCACCTTCGGCGGCCGCCGGCACATATCGGACGTAAACACGGCTGGGCAGGGCATATCTCTTCGACACCTCCTCTCCTCTTAGCTACCGCCACCAACATCAACGCCGCCGAGTCGAACGTGCCGCACGCGTTGTCCGTGACCCGATCACCCGCGGGGACCGACGAGGGCCGAAAGCCTCTCGCGGCGCGACCAGTCGCGTACGTCGCGATGGTCCCCGGTCGTCGCCGCGGGTGGCTCCGATCCAGAATCGGTTTTCGTTCGTCCCCCGCGGGGTCGCGAAAACCCAGGGCCGCGAACGCGATGTTGTGCTGATGCCGTGTTGTCGAGTGCGTTTTTTTTTTTATTTTACGTATCACCGTCGCGCACTGCAATGGCAATCGTTCGATGGTGTCCCAGCGGACGGAAGCAATGGAAACGAACACGAAGAAACCGTTTTTCCTGCCCGCTAGAGTCGAACAACACGGGTCTTTCGTTTTTGACAAAAAGCACTTTTTTCTCCGTGAAAATTCAATATCGTCATAATTACTATACCCGGTATCGATATTGTGAAGGCTCGGATTTTTGACAATATCGTACTCAAATGCGATTCGTATAATGTTAATGAGGCTTAGTTTTTTATGCATTCAAACCCGTCAATCAGGCGATGAAAAATGAACTTCTGGTAGTGACAATCGAATGTTTTAAATGTTTTACTACTGAAACCCTCGAGCCTCATTTCTCTGCGTCATTTTTGTTTATCTCATAACTATATAATACATTATAATATATTATGTATTACATTCGGGAGTGTTTTTTTTTTTTTTTTTTAAGAAATAAGCTCATCATGAGTATCATTTTAAATTAACTAATTGTTAAATCAAAATTCTAATTTAATCTTGATAAGAGATCAAAAATAAAAATTGTATTGTTTAAAGCATAATTTCAGAACATTCGAATCAAAGTGAAATTATCTTCTATTCCTAGCGTTTAGCATAAATGATCTATTTATCTAGCAATGTGGTTTTTATAAATTTAATTGTGCGAATGATCATTTTTAATGCATACGTATACTGATAATAATTTATATATCAAACATGCAATAACTATATGAGTATAATGCATATACTAATAAATACAAAGTTGACTATGGATAAACAATTAACTTCAAGATCCGTTTAAGTATGAATTCAGTTTTTACATAAAATGAAATCGATGTATGTTTTGTAAGACGAATTAATATTTACTCGAAACCAAAAACAACAACTAAGTACATATTATACATTTATTTTGTTTACAATACTGCTTTTATACATTTATATCTTTTTGTGGCATTATTCATATTTCCGACCGGGAGAATGGAAAAGTTTTTTACTTGTTAAACTGAGTTATGAACTTTTTTTTCTATCTATATTAAACACCTGTCGCGACAAAATATGGTTTTTATAATTTTGAATATTATTATTTTTTAGTAAAAAAGATTACTCATCACGTTATTTTAATATGAAACTACCTACGTTTTATATGAAATGTTGAACATTATAAGCAATTAATTATCTATTCATTTTCTCTAAAGCTTCGTAATACATCTATTAATAAAAATTTAACACTATAGTACTCAACATTTTAAGTTTTCAATTTTTTTAATAGTTTATAATTGATACCTGTGTTGCTTCATGTTTGCATTGAGTAACAGTAGTACTATTATTGGCAATTGTAAAAATAAAGCTGAATGTGAAATAGTTTTATATTAGGTCAACATTCAAAACTTTTGATCTGGCTACAATCATTAAATTTAAGACCATTCAAAATATACCGTGTATACACCGAAATAAAATTTATATTGGATGCCTTTTATTTTATGTAATACTATGAACTTTAATCAAAATGTTTATAAACGTGCAACGTTTCTGCACTATACTTTTGTAGAACTATTCGTAAATTTAAGTTGAAGGAAAAAATGGTATAACACATTTTTATGCATAAAGTATCTGTACTAAAATATTATACCTGGAACCAAAACACGAGTTAATACATTTTTAATAAAATAATTTCAAATTGACATTTGATAAATATAATAATTTTCCGAAACATATATTGCATTATATAACATTTTCTATTTTAGTTAGATATATTTATTCAAATCACTAATGTTATTAAATGCCAATAAATTTAAAATTATGATAATTATTTTAAAATGACTATAAACAATTTTTTAAAAAAAATTATATATTATAAAACAGTAGATAAAAACATGTATTAATGACCTAAACTACAAATAAAGTATCCATTAGAAACTAATAGATCCATGCATACTATTCACATTTATATTTATTACTATTCTCGACCATTCAGCTAATATGTATACATTTTATTGTAATATCCACTTTTGAAAGCTTTTACATAATTTTTTCAATTTCAATGGGCCAAATTTAAATGTTTTGGATTAAATTGACTACTCAAATATTACTTGCCAGTGACCGTAAGATTTTTTTTCTAGACTTGGAGCTAGTTTCTTTTATCACAAGTACACCCATGGCAGGGAAAACCGTTTCAAAATCAAATCTTAAGTATATTCTATAAAAAGGGTTTGTGCTAGAGATTTATACGTATTTAAATTGTATAAGAGTATCTAAAAAAAAAAAACTTAATAATATATTCATGTATATTCACGCCGAAATGATGGAACATAGTATACGAATGGATTGGTTTTTCATATGAAACTCAGTAAAAATTAACATATCAAGAGGATTATGTGATATTTCGATTAAGCGGATCGACAGGTATAATCAAATACGAGGACTTAGACAATTACGGTACGTATTTGTTAGTACAATTTTCAATCGATACGGAATACAATCTACAGCGGCCAGAAACAACGATATATAAAACTTTGAGGAATCGTCATTCGACGAGGATCAATTGTATAAAAAAGTAAAGTGCCCGCCGAATTAACTTGAAATTACACTTAACAAAAGTATCAGATCGTGTGAACTGCATAGAAATTTATTTCATTAGAATTGAATTCATTTTGAGTAAATCTTTCGACGACAATGGATATTAGGTTGCAGTATACACTGGACTATAAAAAATTTGCAGTGTGTTGATCAGGTTTAACCTGAAATTTACCTGTAAATTTGTTCGATATCCGCGTGTGAAAATTCTTGCCAACAACTGCAACCGAATTCGATTGATGGTTTATTATTATTACTATATTACGTTTTATTGTCATTATTATTATTGCTAGATAATATATATCATGCAGCATATATCACACGGTCGAACGAGTTTCATTTTGCCGCATAACGATAATTATATTGATTTACTGTTAAAACCCTTTGCATCTAGTTTACATTCCAGGGGAGGGAAGCAAATCACTGCATCACGTAATTAGGAAGTAAATGCATTTAAAGAAAAGCTACATTGATGTATCTCAAAGAATAATCATTTAAAAAATATAAACTGCAGGTTAAATATAAATTAAAACATTTTAAAATAAAAATTAAAATAAGGATTACATAAATAATCAACAAAAATTATCCTATTTATTACTTTGACATTAATGATTATAACTTGACTATTTATTGGCAAATTTTTTTCCATCCGAAAATGTATTGAGAAATATTTACTGAAATATACGTAATGTAAATAAATATGTCTCAAATAATCAAAATATATATGAATTCTAAAATAGGCTCGAATAGAAAAATGCCTTTTAATTATTTTAGTACTATGATTCGCAGTGAAATGCAACGTAATTTCTATTAAATAAGTATATTATATGCAAGCAACTATTGAAACAAACAAATAAATCCAAGCTAAAAGATTAAAGTTATAACTACGTTCACAGTTTTATAAAATATAAAATGTGAATGTAAGTACAGCTGCATTTTTAATCAATTCTTTTAACAGCTTTCATCTCTTTTTTTGATGTTTACAATTTTTTTTTTTTTGTAAGAAAAAGATTTATGAGTGTTTAAAAGGCATTAAAATATTAATATATTTTATTTATCATCTATATTAAAATTAAAAAATGCATTTTAACATTTATCGGGTTGAATATTTTAATCAAAGTGAAACATTTCCATTCTAAACAATAATGATGCTAAAAAAGTGTCAGTACATTTTGTATGTATAAGTTATCTTTTAATGACGTGACGTTTTATAATTAAATTACAATAAACTCATAATATAATATTAATTTTTTTTTTTTTTTGCTAATATTTAGAAGCTTTCAATCATATTTTGCATAGTTTTCTAAATTGTTTATAAACAAATTAGAAATAGGTAGTTAAATATAATTAAATATATCTATGTAACATAACAAAAAGTTAAAGCAAAAAAATAAAAATAAATATTTATGTTTTTATCCGAATAATTAAAATAATATTAATCACAGCTAATAATAGAAACAATATGATTTCTAGAGGAACTTTTTAATTCTCGATGTGTATCAACGACAGAATAACGGGTGAACTAAACACATAGTTACAATGATAGAGTTTCTTACATAAAATCATAACTCTAAATTCATAGATGAATGATTTTTGTTACACTTATTTTACTATAAATTTTAAAATATTATTAATTATCCTTATATTAGCTTGGTTTTACATTTTTTTCAAATAAAAATTTGTTTACTTTTTTAAGGCAAATTCGATTGTAAATATGGATATAAACTATAAAATAAATTCTATTTCAAATGTAATTCAATTCAGGACAAAAGGTTTCAAATTAGTACTTCAATAATTTTAAAATATATATAATACATTATTATAGTATAATTAATTTGATTATATT